ATGCGTCGGTCGAGCGAAATGAAAATATTTATTCATGTTTGCACGTGAAAGTGCGAGTGCTATATCACAAAAAAAAAAAAATAAGAAGAGAAGACACGCGATTCGCAGGCATTTCGGAAATATGTATACACATATTAATAGATAGCGGATAGAAAAGATACATATCGTATTTACCATTTCTTGAGCGGAAAATTCGATGCGTTTTCGATAAGCATTCGCGTGAAAGTGCAAATACAACTCGTACTCGGCCGTATTTGCCGATGTTTTGTAAGAAATCAGAAATCAGTGATTTTTATTTTCTGCATTTCCTCTTTGATGAAAGTAAAATTATATAAAGAAAATAAAAAGTGAGAAATTTCGTAGTGCACGACGATAATGGGCAACGCGTGACTAATTTCCTATAATATTTATGATGCACGACTATTTGCGGCGTAATAAATTTTCATCGTGACGTTCGTAAAACGCAAGGCGTTTGCGGTGCAAAAAGAATTTCGATGTAACATTCGGTCGGTCGGTCGGTCGACGGGCAACGCGAGAAATGAGTGTGGCGTTACGCGGTCGGAAATGTGTCTTCCTCTTCCTGTGTCCGCATCTTGCGCGTAACGGCAACGGGAAAGGACCCGACGACGGGTTACCCGGGGGGACTATTCCTCGCGATTTAAAGGGAAAATTCGCTGCCGCTGAGCGACACGAGTCGACTCGGACGATAAATTAGACCGCGACGACGGCACCGCGCGGAATAGAAAGTTGCCTCCATGGTGTGCGGTGTGAGAAGCAAGAGAGATGAAAAACGTATGGACTTTTGTTGAAGAAAAAGAGAAACGCGCTTATTTAATTTCAAAAGAATAATCCTTCGATAAGACGCAGCGGGCATTTATCGGTTTCCTGGAAAATCTTAAAATACGGAAGCGTGCAAGTAGTGGCGGTATTTTAACTAGGGATTTTAAGAATTGTAGTGTACAAAAAAATTTTAATAAAATAAACTATGTGTCTATTTTTTAATAATAATATACTGGATTAATGTCGTTGTATGTAAATTATATAAACTTGTAAAAAAAACGTTAACTCTGTGTAAAGGCAGGTTTCAGTGGATGGAGAAAAAGAGAGAGTCACGAAAGGAATGAGGATAGGGAAAGGAGATACGTCGTGTGAAAACGTCGCATCCCCTCCGCGCCGGTCTCCGTGACATTTGTACACCCTGTTACCTCCTTCGCGGTTAATAACTTAACTGTAACCACCATTGCCTGCGTTGATTAACAACAATTCGCCGCGCTCTTCCTCGTGCGCAAATATAATTCGACACGGCGCGTTAATTGGCAGGCTTTCATCGAGATTAGGATATCACCACTCTCACTGAAAACAGTCCTGCCTCATTCCACGGTGAAGGACGAACGCGAGAGAAATTGCAGACGAATCGTCTTATCTTTGTTGATCTTACAAATTTAATAAAGAGACATTTTTCTCTACGTACGTATAACGTATATTTATCATGCTGGAAATGCTGATCTGTTTCGTATGTTAAATATCATTTCATTTCTAAGAATGTCGAGAAGTTTAAAACAAAATAAAATTTAGTGCAATGACGTAGATTTATATAATATCATAAAATCATATAGAATATAATTATTCTACATGAATTGTAATTAATCATCATTATAATGACTTATAATTACAATGTATAATTAATTACTAGATAAAGAAGTTCTTTGTTCTTCCTCCACAGAGATGCGAAGCGAAGTGGGCGAATGGCTGGCCACGTGCGTAGGTTCGCCAATATGCATTTTATTACTGTCATGGTCTCTATTGATCTACCAGAATCAATCTTCATCTGCCAAAAGAAAAATTGATGTGCTAACAGTCGCGATTCTCTCTCAAAGTCTCACACATCAATTAGGATTGCTGCTGTACGCGATTCTCACCTTAATTCGTCCAGCGAATCATTTTGGAGGTAAGGTCGTTCTCCTCTTCGGAATTTATGGATGCGCCAAGTAATTTCCGACGATTATGTCATGTAAATTAATTCGATGGAACAAATTGGCCTGGAGCCAAAACGTGATTCTGCCGATCAAGCCAGGCAATTCTTCGAAGAGAATTAAAAATGTGTTACATCTAATTTTATAATTTTTTTATTTACTTAATGGAAATTTATGAAAAACTTATTATTTTATTATTATTTATTATTATTTTAAATTGCATTTGCAAAAATAATACAAAAATTTTGTGGCGGTTTAGAATCTGAACCAAAAATTATTTATTTATAAGTACAAAAAATGCGTTTTAATAGAAATGTAATAAAAAAAAATAATGACAAAAATCTCAATTTCTTTTTTATATAAGTACTTTAAATTTTTATTTACAGACTACAAAAATTAATTTCTGCATCGTAATGAAACTTTACATAAATATCGAATATTTAAAATACTTGTGTAAAAGAATTATTTAAATATTTAAAGTAAAAATATGCTTTAATAAAAATGTAAGAAATAATGATAAAAATTTTAATTTTTTTATATAAGCACTTTAAGTATTCAAGATACGATCTAGAATAATTTATAATTTTTCATTGTAAATAAAAATAACTGTACATCCTTGATCCAACGTTTCTTTTTTGTCGCAGAGTTATGCTCGACGTTGGTATGGGTACTGAACTCGTCGAGCATTCTCCAGGAACTGACTCTCACGTCGATCGCGGTGTTCGCGGCAATTAGCAGTCATGACGACGTTATCAATCTTACGAAGAATCACCTCAAGTATCATTTGGTCAGCCTGAGCGTTATCAGCGCCTGCATCGGCGTCACCGGCGTCCTCAACTTTGAACCGGAAATCTGCGTCTTCCTGGCTCACGAGATCTCTCATAAATATGGAGTCTTCGTCAATTCTCTAAGGGGTTTGTTAGCCCTTACATCTCTATTCAGCGTCATGGTTGCACTCTTCAAAAATATCTGTCGTCCATCGACCTCCGAGCTGCTCAAGTCAGTCTCGGATCTGTCCGAGGCAAGTTCGAAGAACTCTTCAGGAGCATTCGATTGTCATCCGCAGCATTGGGATCCCTCGAGCGGATCGTGCACCAGCGGTTCGACCAATAGCAGAGCATGTTTGAGGAAGAAAAAAGTGCAGGTTGACGAGGCCAGCGGCAGATCTACCGTTTACAGCATACTATTTGTTTGTTACATCTTCGAGCATTTACCTATCCTGGTAATTATATAATTTATTTACAATTATTCTTATTATATATATGTATATATGTATATATATGTAGGTATATATATATATATATATTTATTTATTTATTATATTATATTTTTACATTTTTTATTAACGAGTTTTTTAATTAACGCATAATTCATAATTTATAATTTAAGAATTATCAATTGAAACATTTTTTTTAAATATTTTGCTAATAAATGCTTATAATTAATGCAATAATTAAAAAGTGGCATCTTACATATGAACAAGCAATTATTTTTTTTTTATAAGCTGAAAATTAATTAACGACAAAACAGGAAACCCGTTTACCGAAAATCGTTTTGATCATTAGCAATCTTGTTACGTTAAAAGTCTGAATTTTGAAATCTGCTTCTAATTTATGTAAAATTATAAAAGCCTAATGCTATCGAGATTACATTTTTCCATACGGTTGGTTTAATTATTATTATTACTACTTTCGAATCGGAACTCCAACGAACCGGCAACGGTAACGCTAATTATTGGCTCACAATTGAGATTTATCAGGGGCCTGAAAAAGAGATTTATTAAGCGTTCCGCGATCACGGCTAGATCAAACTTTTTTTGCCGACACTGGAACCATTTTTTATGCAAGCATCACGATCGTGTAAGAGAGATATTTCGCAATATCCTCGAAATTGCACATGCCAAGTCGACCGTAGCGATATTACATAGCTAAAAGTGGCCGACCTAATTTATGGCACGCCCTCGATTATGCTTTTCAATGTAGCGAAAAATAGAGGATATTCCACAAGTTTTTTTTAAATAGACTCATAGCTGTCATTAACATATATTCAGTTTCAGGCGGTATAAATTTTCTTGTTAATCACACCATACGTACAGTATCCAAGGTCCGAGAAACTTAAAATCCTTTTGTAGAAAGATACCACATTCTTGACAAGTAAAAGAAAAAAAAAAAACAAGCAATCTAGAGAAATAATGTAATTTTGTTAAAAATTACACAAAAAAATTTTGTTGCATCTAAAGCGTATCATATATTTTAGAATCAAAATGTGTCGAGGTTTTACAATTATGATGGCACGATGAACTGATTGTAATTGGTCATGCCCCTGAAAGTTTCGTCGTATCGCAATAGATCCGACGCGGTGGTCGAGCGAATTGTCCGATCGCCGTCACAGCAATTACATCAGTACAATTACATCACGGTCGGAGAGGATTTTCGTGCGAGCGAGCGCGAGCCGGACGCGAACTTCGTTCCGTGCGTGCGCCATCCGGAAGCGAGACGGACCCTTCGCTCGTAAATTCCAAACTCCTCGCGAGAAAGTGATCGAGAGAAAGAGAAAGAGAGAGAGAGAGAGAGAGAGAGAGAGAGAGAGAGAGAGAGGAGGGAGAGAGAGAGAAGAAGGAGAGAGAGAAGAAG